ACCAAGATCAAGAAGCTCCTTTCCCAAGTTGCCACTCATCTGGCTTCAGATAGCGGGGGCACCTGAATCAGGTCCTTCAAAGGTGAGTGCAGTGGTCGGGTAGGTCCATATGGGAGTAGGTAGTACTTAAGGTATGCTGGCCTCAAGCTGTCTAGGGCTGAACTGAAGCCAACCAGGAGCCAGTGTAGGAGGTTCAACACTGGAGTGGTATGGTCCCTATGACTCACTCCAATGATAATTTTATCCATAGCATTCTGCACCACTTGTAGCTTCCAGACACTTTTCAAGGGAAGCCCCAGGTACAGCACATTGCACTAGTCTAATCCAGATGGTGCAAACCTGCTCCTTTGCGGGGAGTGCAACCCCATCCAGAACAGGAGATGACTTATTTCTTGGGTCAGACCCTATCCCCCTTCCACGCCAGTAGCACCTCTGTTTTGTGCAAACATGCATCACTTCTCTCCATACAGTCTGATATCTGAGGACAATCCGAAACAACCATCACATGGAAACAGAAAAGGCACCTGATTTGTGAATCTGCTCTTAGGTAGCGAAGAAGACACAGCAAGCTAACCCAATGGGCAATTATTCTAAATAGAAAAAAATGCTTGAAAGCAGTGCTCCCTCTAAGCTGAGTTAGTGTGAGCTAGCTCACAATTTTTCACCCTCCGGCTCACACATTTTTGTCTCCGCTCAGGAAGAAGGGCTCCAGAGCAAACTAATGTATGCAGCAGCCAAATCGCTGGCTTACAACTTTAATGCCAGTAGCTCACAAGGTAGAATTCTTGCTCACAAGACTCCACAGCTTAGAGGGAACATTGCTTGGAAGGCTTTTGAATAATTGGGTAATATAGTCTTTGCAGGAGGAGGAGTCCATTTGCAATGATTCAGCTCAAAATAATGAGATTAAAAGCAAGTAATGTAATCAAAACATTCGTAAATCCTAATAAATCCAGTAGTGGACCACATCAGTCCAGTAGCACGCCACATTTGTATACTACCACCAACTCACAAAACAGTACTTTCTTAGACCAAGTCTCTCATTACATGCCAAAACTGTCAAAAAGTCCCTCTATAAACAGCGGCTGGGGAGAAGGTTGACATGGCTGCAATAACATGATTTTAGATTTTAGATTTTAAAGCATAAATATTAAAGAACAACAATGTAAATTTTGCATGTTAAAGCCTTGGAGAATTCCTCTCATTTTTGGGAGTTCTCTGTAGAACCAGACTTCAAAGGAGCTCCAGACAAGAGTGCTCATTTAGAGATACAAACGACCTTCTCCTACCTCAAAAGCTCCCCCCCCCTTCATTCCCTACCCCAGAATCTGAAAAAGCACCAAGAATACAAATTTCGGTATAGTGGCAAAAATACGTTGATTTAAGAGAATCTCAGAACTAAGGGTAATTCTAACACTAATAGCTTAAAAGATGGTTTAACGGTTATTCTATTAGAGTCTGTATGAGCTGGAAATCATCTGACGTTATTGTGAAGGACCAAGAGCCTGAATACTAATAAGTGTTAATTTCTATGTAAACAACTTGGGGGAAAGAAAGCAACATACAAAGCCTCATATCAGGAGACTTGGTAACACTCTCTTTCTCTCTCTCTCTCTCCCCCTTACACACACACAACTGAAAACTGTTATCATTTCATTAATGCAGTGGACTCAGGGGTCATTTCCTGTAGGAGCGCACAGGAGCGGAGCTCCGACAGTAAGGAACTCAGGGGCAGGGGGCGGGCACATGTGACAAGCCCCGCCCCCTGCTTCCAGCAGCCTTCAGTCAGGCCACGAGGAGCAAGAAGCAGCCAGATAAGTTGCA